GTGTGTACTAAAATCATGTTCCATCTCGATTTAATTCCACATAAGTTAGCTAAGATTTAGAATGACTTATAAGAGTTCGATAAATATCTTATTGTTAACTTGATCTTAAGTATTTTGTGTCAATGGTTCAGACTTAATGAAATTAATAGATCATTTGGGCCAATTATCCCATCAGAACAGGTCATACCATGATAGGTGTTTTTAGTAGTATTCTTTAGATTGGTTCTAATGTTGTAATATGTTGCCTATTTTTATAGCTGACAAGGATCTGGATTACCAAACAAAGATGACAAAGGCTCGCATGAAATACAAAGATAATTTCTACAAGCGGCATTTAATTATTTGACCAAATAGAAATCGTCAGGTTTTCATTGTCTTCCTATTCTATTTCTCAAGTATACTCTCCTCTTCTTTCCCCTATGTTCTATTCATCCCCTTGGAGCAGTTAGGCCTTAATACAAGTCTACAATAGGTCAGGTCTGAGTTATATTTGTTTGGGGCCTTATTTTTCAAGAAATTTGTCATTCAATCGTGTCATCTGAGGCAATATATTCTTTCCGGTCAAGAACTCAAGATCAAAGGAGTAGAATTAGTAGGGTAACATTTATAGAAACATGCCTTGATCGTCTTCTCGTTGTCTTGATCACAGCTGAATGATCCAAGTGGGACGTAACTGTTCAAAGCAGTCGCTGCCACTGCCGCTGCACTAACCACAGACAACTGCATATTGATTACCGATTAAAGATAAAGTTTCACAAAAAAATCAACCGCTAATAACTGAAAACGGCAGTACGACGTCAGTGAATTTGGAAATAAATCTCGAAAGAGGGCCATATGTATGATCGATTTATCTTGATAATGGAACCAGGGAAAAACAATGCAAGATGATTGAGAAGCGTCGTTCCGCATAACGTCAAGAACAACAAGAATTGATTTAAGAAAGGAGGGGAATGCAACTGAAGCCCTAATGGTAAGTGATACGAAATAAATAAAGCTGTATGGTAAGATTAGTTCTGTATAACACTAAGAACGACGAGAATCGAAAGAAAAGGAGGAAGATGGATTAGAGATCAACCTATGATGATAGGAGGGAACAATGCACAATATCCAAGTCAGCGCAGTAAAACTACTACGCAGAAACCTAAGAACAAGAAGAATCATAAGAAAAAAGGTGAGAAGAAAGACAATGCAGAATGACCAAAACGGCGTGGTAAATATAGTTCCGCAGAACGATAAGAACAGCAAGAATCAAAAGAAAAGGTGAACAAATGGGTTAGAGATCATCGATCACAAAGGAGGGTGTCAGGAGAAGAAAGACACTGCACAAAACCAAATCGGCGGGGAAAAACTAGTGCCGCAGAACGACAGGAACGGCAAGAATCAAAAGAGGAGAAAAAATGGGTTAGAGATCACCGATAACGAAAGGACGGAGTCAGGAGAAGACAGGCAATGCTCAACAACCAATTCGGCGTGGTAAAACTTGTTTCGCAGAACGAAAAGAACAACAAGAACCGACAGAAAAGGATAAAAAATGGGTTAGAGATCATCGATCACGGAAGGATAGAGTCAAGAGGAGACAGACAATGCTAAATAACCAAATCGGCATGGTAGACCTTGTTTCGCCGATAAGAACAACAAGAACCGACCGAAAAGCAGCGCAACAAACTGAAATGACGAGTAGACGGGAGTCAAGAACAAGAAAATATAACCCTGGGGAAAAAACCTAAAACCGATCGCCAAGAACGCTAAGACCAACAAGAATCGACGAAGAAAGAAACAGGGAAATCGATTGAAACCCCAACTCTAGGATGTCATCCGCGGTGGAAGAAGAACATGACGACCTCGGTTTCAAGGTTACGGATCTCGGAGGCGAGGAGGGAGACGACGCGAGGCTTCTTGGCGATGCTCTCCACGTGCCGCAGTTGCTGCTCGTCCGCCATTCCCACTGCCTCTGCCTCTCTCTCTCTCTCTCTCTCTCTCTCTCTGTGGGGCGATCGAGAAACGAGCGGAACGGTTAAGCAGACGCAACAGAAAGGCGAACGACGGTTTTGGCTGTGATGAGTACGAGGATGGAAGGTTCTAGAAGTGAATAATGGAAGGACCCAGAGGAGGCCCGAAACTTCATAACGGGACGTTCCGGTATGCGGGTTTAGCGTGTTACGTTGTATTCGAGTGCTTTTCTAAAGACCGCTCCGTCCCCACACTATCCTAACAATGGAGTCGCCAAGCATCACTCGAAGCTCAATAATACCAAACGTTATAGAATAATTAGCAATATCAATACGTAGGTAGCTATTAATCTTAGCCTCTCTCTTCTACCGATAACTATCCATTACTCAAACTCATACCAAAGCTTATCTGGCTGCCTATTTTTTATTTGTACTTTGTTTTTTCTTGCTTTGATCATCCAAAATAGGTTGGTTTACTAACACACCCACGAATTTGGTTATTGATCTAAAATACTCCAAGTTGCCTAAATACTAACAATAAGTATCTATTTTCAATTTTATTATTTTCAATATTAATCAACAAGTATCCTAATTCATCTTAAATGAGTTGAATATGCATGATACTAAAAAAAAAAAAAAACTCATCTACTTAGAGAAGGCTAATTACAAAGTACCCCATGTAGTTAGAATTTTATAATATCTTAATTTCTAAATTTAAAAAATTATATTAAAATATCTATAATCATAAAAGTAAAATATTTAACTCCATTTATCCTAATATTATCGGTTTTATCGACGAAAAATATAACACGTGATAATACGTGTAAGAATAACAAAAAATGATAAAAAAAAAATTTTAATATCATAACTATATTTTTTCTTCTTAATTAATTATTGTGGTGGTGGTGAATGACAGTGCCACTGGGGGCTACAGTTGGCTATTATAGTTGTAGCTGACAAGAACAACACAATGGTTGACGAGAATAATATTGGGATGTCCTTAGAGATAGGTCGGGTGGAGTTCTTGAATGTGGAGTTGAGAGAGACTTATATGGCTTGTTACGAGGGGAGGAGGAGAAAGAGAAGAGAGAGTAGCGCGTGAGAGGTAAGGCAAATGGAGAAGAGAAAGAGGATAATATAGATATCAATGCTTTTCATCTATGTTCGTGTTGCTCAACATCTGCATCGGCATCGCTCTGCATGTGCGATGACACCGACGCAGATGTAGAGCGTCAACATATGTGTCATCCTCTTCATCTTCTCTTTGCTTTACCTTTCGTTGTCGCTCTCTCTCCTCCTCCCCCTTCTTCCCTCATTCCATAATTCCTCATCCTTCTTCCTCTTTTCGCCACTTTGTATTTGCATCGATGCCGACACGGATGTAGAGTGTCGACATCTACGTTATCCTCTTCCTCCTCTCCCTTTGTCTCACCTCTCTTTGTTACTCTTCCTCCTTTTCCAACTTCTCACCTCACAAGAAGTTGCAAGTCTCTCAACTCCACATCGGGACTCCACCTACCTTATCTCTAAGGATAGTCTCACATCATTCTTGTCTATCACAACTACAACAGTCACTCGTGCCCCCCGACAATACTATCGTCTGGCACCATCATAATAAAATGTAATTAGGATGTTGAAATTATCATTTTATCCATTATTTTCATGTCATTCCTGCATGTACTATCTTCAGGAAACCAATGGTGTTATGATAAATAGAGTTAAATGTTTCGTTCTCATAACTATAGAGATTCCAATATAAATTTGTTGAGTCTAACAATTCAGATGTTAAAAGAGATATAACTACATGGGTAATAGTATTTTCGTTTTGTTATTACCATAACCTTTACTCATTAGCATTTTTTTATTAGATTCAGATAATAAAATTTAAATATAACTTTAAATATATAATGACTATTTTATTTATTTTTATTTTTTTATAAACGATAAACGAAGAAGACATGACTCAAGCTCAAAATCTTTACGAGCTAAATTAACTAACACCTTCAAATTAATATGATTACATTAGAGTGACGATGACGGACATGTGGCACCCCATACGTTTGTTAGAAAAGATACCATAATCAACAATAATTTACTATTAAATTTAATTATCGGACAATGATGGTCACTCTCGCTATGCCAAGTGACAGGGCAACTGAGCCTCCCACTCTTCGTGAGAGTCTTTGCCTTCATCAGTCTCATCATCATAAGTCATTTTTTAATGTCCAACCCCATCTAACTCTTCTCGTTGAAATGAAAAGGATGTTAAAATTATTTTTTTGTCAATTATTTTTGCACCGATCCACGTGTTGTATTTCCATATATGCAATAGTTGACGTTAAGGTAAATAAGATTATTTATTTTAATTTTAAAATTATAAAAATCTAAATATAAATTTTTTAAGTATAGAAACCATAAATATGTAATCAACACTTTAATAACCGTATAAGACATGAAATAGTAGACTTTTGTACAACATTCGATGTCTCAAGTTGCTCGAACATACTTTCTGGAGAAAGCTTCACGGGCTATATTTTCCAAAGCTAAATTATGTTTATGAAACAGTGATGTGATTTCACTTGAGAAAACAATCAAGTATTCTAATTACATATATATTAAGGTTAGCTTTGAAACCCAAACGATTGAAGCTTTTAATACAATCTCGCAGGTCAAATCAAGAGAGATATAATCGCATTGGTTCCCCTTTCTTTGTTCACGTCGTTCATGGAATCTGCATCAGTTATTGGGATAGATGCCTTCCATCAATCCCTATCCTTCCTTTTCTTCCCCTCCTCCCCGTCTCGAGTTTTCGCAAGGAAATGGATGGCTCCTCAGGAGAACACACCCGCCTCCTCTATCTACTTTCATTGGATCGAGTCTCGAATCACTTCCCATATGTAGCCGAGCGATAATGGCGGCCATCACTTCTTGCTTGTTTTGCTGCTCGTCTTCCCCGCCCCTACATAAAGACCGGGAAGAAGAGAGATGCAGTGACGTTACGTTCCTTCGATCGCACAGGAGGGGATCTGTGAGATGTCGACAACTATCGAGATGACGACTGTTGATATGGTGGAGAGCGCGAATGGCTCCGTCGACCAACCCGGCGGCTCCCCTCTGCCGCTAGCACCCCCGGAGTCAAACCTGGAGATAGAGGGCGAGGTAGAGGCGGAGGCGGAAGCGGAGGCAGCGCCGGAGGCGGAGGTGGAGGCGGAAGCGGAGGCAGCGCCGGAGGTGGAGGCGGAGGCGGAGGCAGCGCCGGAGGTGGAGGTGGAGGCGGAGGCGGGCGTCGAGCAGCTGCGAGAAATGGTCTTTAGGTTGAACCCTTTTGCTGAAGAGTTTGTGCCGGCGTCATTAAGAAATCCGCCGTTTCGGAAGGTAATTTTGACTCTGCATTTGATTTATTTTCTTAGCGTTTTGATTTGATGGTCAATTATTGTGGTTTTTTATGTTGAAATTGACGATATATAAATTGTTATTCATCCTCACAACTCTCTATTCTAACAATAATAAAATCATCTACTCCAACAAAGAAGTCTCTTTTTTATATTTATTTTAATCATCTCATAAAGGATCTTCATTTTATTTTTGTTATATATATATATATATATATAATTTTATTCATCACTATATATATTATATATCTCTCTCTTACCATTTGTGAATCTCGCACCCCCAACATCTTTCTCCTTTTTATCTATTTTCCCCTTCTTGTTGACACCATGCAGAAGAGTACTGAAGCTGAAGAAAGGAGGATTTCGCTGAGGCCGGATGCCGTCGGACGAACCATATTCGTGTCCGATGTCGGACGAGATGTAAGCTACATCATAATTTTTCTCTCACAGCTATTGAAACTTAGGATTTTATTTCTACTATCGAATAATTCATGCATGCATGCAAATCGAAACAACAGTTTTCCTAACCCTGTGGTATGTTGGATTAACCAATTCACTTTGATTGGATGGGTCTACCACAGGTTACTGAAGAGCACATTGCTGGATTGTTCAGTATGTGTGGAAGGGTAAGTATTGGCCAAATATTTACGATGCAATGGTAACCCATCACATCATGTTTACGTCCCATCTGACGCTAGTGTTTGTTTCATGGTGAAGGTAATCGATTGTCGCATCTGTGGGGATCCCCATTCTGCACTTCGATTTGCACTGGTGGAGTTCGATAACGAGTGTAAGAAGAAAGTTGGATTGATCTCATCATCATCATCTCCGAATCTTTCTTTGTACTCTCTGTGCTTACGTCGAGTCTTTCCCATCCCACAGATGGTGCAAATGTAGCTCTCAATTTCGACGGGACGATTCTTGGATTTCATCCACTCGCGATCTCGCACTCCAAGACTGCTATCACGCCTGTCAATCCTTCGTTGCTGCCTCAGGTGATCGTACTGATTCTTCGTGTTATCTACGTATTTTTCATGTTAAAATCGTACTGAAGCTGCGAGCGAATGCAGTCTGCTCCTGAAAGGGCAAGGTGTCTGAGGACGGTGTATGTCAATAATATCGATAGCCAGGTGAGTTGGAAACTATATGTTACGTCTTTCTCTATCTCTTCTCTTACCACTTGCTTTGACTCGACATCAGGTTACACCGGCAGAAATAACGGATTTATTCGTGACATACTGTGGCGAGGTCAGTGGATTAACCTCACTTGTGTTTTGATCATCCATAATTCAGTAAGATGATGATGTTGCAAACTTGTGGATCGTTCCTGTACAGGTCTCTCGTATGAAGCTTCTGAAGGATCATGCCAATTCATCCAACATGGCGTTCGTTGAATTCGTTAGAGTATGGATGATGATACGCTATCCTTTTTATGTCCGCATTGATGATAGATAGATAGATTGATTGATTGATGGATGATGATGATGATAATATTCTAAGGCAAAAATGATCAATGGCAGGTGGAGAGTGCCGGCAAAGCTCTTTCTTGCAGCGGAATGGTACTCGGAGATTCTCCCATCAGGTAGGTATATACTACATGTTGTTATTCTGTCGTTTAACAGAGCCAACAAAGTGGAGACACTAAGTGACTGTATTCGCAGGGTCAGTCCTTCGAAGACTCCGATGTGGCGGTAGCGGACCCGTGGACCTGCTCGCGCTTGTTCATTTATTCTACCATTATTATTAGTACCCCATCTCGTGTAATTTGTACCTGACCTATAGTTTCTTCCTGAGCTTTCACGTTTGGACCTGACTTGTTCGTCTGCTGTTGTTTTGTTTCTTCTCTCATTGTGTCGTAATTAAGTGGAGAAATGACAACTCGGGTCTTCTTATGTATGAAAAACCCGTGGTAAATTAGGAAATGGGAATATAAGAAGAATTAAAACAGAATTTTGGATTCATCCGATGGACGACATCACCTATAAAACATAGCATGAAGATTACTTCTTTTAATCTCCTATCTTCCTTATTAGTTGCGCCCCCGCATGGCAGGAGATGCAAAGCCTTAGGTATCATGCATGACTCTCTCTCTCTCTCTCTCTCTCTCTTGTCCAAATCTATAATTGCCTTGTGCTGGAAAGGGGAGCAAGAAGAGAAAGTGGTAGTAGATATAGAAAGAGTATTATTACTAAAGCAGGAGAATGAATGCCCTTCATATGACTTTCCAAGCATTAGAATTGCAGAGAGGAAGCTTGAGCGAGAAAATGATGGCGTCATGATACCTTCCTTCTTTTGGAGAGGAAAGGAGTATCTGATGCACTCATCTCAACATTTAACAAAGTCATCTATCGAGTAGAAATTGTTCTTCACATGGGCAAAATTACAAGTTTAGGAAACTCTCCTATGTGCCTGTTTTGGTATGTTACAAGTTCACTGTAACATCAAAGAGTTTGGAGTCGATATACGCATCATTAGACATACTAGAGATGAAGATAAAAGGAACAACAATTAGCACAAGATTCCCGAGTTTGGGGTGGATATTACTTCTGTGAGCAGAAAGATTGTTTCCGTGATTCTAAATCATAGCCTCCTAAATCGCAAAGTAATAATCTTATCATGAGCTAAAAATAATCGACAAAAACAAACATGGTAACAGTAGGTACCCTACATTTTAGCCCTCATCGGTGCCAGAAAGCAGTTTTCAATTCTCAAATATTTGAGCCCGAGATATACAAAAATTGGCTACAGACGAGACATCGTGAACAAAAGACATAGAACCCTTTTTGCTAGACAACACATCTATTCAAAACTGACAGTTGGCCAGAATCTCCATTTAATATGAAAACTTCCAAAGGGATATATGGCGTTTGTGACGACGACACAAACCTAGTTGATGGCTGAAGAATTTTGCTACCTTTAGGGCATTGGATGGTTAGAAGGCGAGGTCCGGTTCGCATCTTCCAAATCTACAAAGCAAAATTTAGGTCAGAAGAGGGACGATCAGCATATATCATCAAGAGATTTCTTAGCAGTTCCAAGTTACAGAGGCATTATGAGGACCACCACCACATTGAGATGGTCTTAGGTACTCAAAATGGCGATGAAAGAGAATGGGGTCTACCATCTGTGTTGCTCAAGTCCATTTCTTCTTGCCTTATCAAACAAATACTCCTTCCTCATAATTTAATGCATTTCTAGACTTGTGTGTTTCAATAATTATATATATGAGATGACGAAATAATACCACATAGTGGCAATTGTTGATCCTACAATCACATAGTGAGAATG